TTCTTCTTGATTGTTTATCGGTAAAATTCAAGCTTTCCATTCATATTAATCAATTGTCATTTATCATCATCACAAATGTTTGGCTCTTTTATGTTTCTCAGTTTGTTTCATGATTAATGATTCTAATTGTTGTGACAATTTTGCTTCAACATTGATTGATAATCACAAACATCACAAACAATTATTACGATTCACGATTTTTCGCATGAAGATTAAAGACAAACTAGGCTACCTACAGAGTTTGTAGTACAGGCACTGTAACGAAAACATTACATGTAAATTAAAAAGGGGTTGAATTTGTTTCTTTTGAGCACAATTTAATTGATTAGTTAATCTTTAGTCTTCACTGACTATTTAATTAAATCACAAGACGCAACTTTGACTATTTTAGTTAAAATGTAAAGGGTCAAATACGGTCTTCACTGACCGTCATTTGACCAGGACAATTTAGCACCACAATTATTTGGTCTTCACTGGTCATTATACACAAATTTAATAGATATTATATATTTTATTTAATTAACAAATTATTAGAAAATTGAACAATTAAACAATTAAACAATATTGATGAAAAATGGTGAAGATTTGACTTTGGTTGATCTTCACTGATCAAAACCAAAGTCATTAGTTGATCTTCACTGATCTAACTAATTACTTCTTCTAATTAACAAAATCTATTATTTTATAAAGAAAAATGAATTTATCGCTAGTGGGATCTAATTGAAGAGGTTTGTTTTCTGTTCAGGTTTTATCAATCAATTGATATTGTATAATATTACAACATTTCCGTCGACTTAAATTTGAGCAGTCTCTGCCAAAGCAAAGGGTTGAATTCCATATTTCAAGAAGGGCATCATAGAATTTATTTGTTATCGATTTCGTCGGCACTTCTTTGTACCAACCAGTTGAAAACATTATCGTTAGGTTTATGACAGCTTAAGTTGATGATTTTATCTTTCGTATAGTGATAGGGTTGATAATATGAAAGTGTAGGATTACAACTCGGGTAAGGTGAAGAGTAAAAATGTGAAGATAAACATTTAATTGAGTTTGATTCCAAGTAAAGATTAGGATAATTAACGTGAGCAGTTTTGTCAATCAATTTTGGTATCTCTTCAGCTAGTGGTATTTCAAGAGGATCAACTAATTCTAAAAAGGGGAAATTTTCCTCTTGTTCATTCTGTTCATTGGATTTGCATTGATTCGAATCGATCTGATCAAGATTTTCAATAATTTCAGTTTCCCTTTCGATCTCTAACGAATGTTTAGCACTTGGTAAACTCGTGAGATTAATCAAATTTGAATTATTAATATGAATTGTTTTAGCTGCACAATCAATTATAAGATTAGCTTTTGTCATTAGATCTTGACCAATTAAAGCATCGAATTGATGTGGCAAATATTCAGTAACTTGGACAATTGTTGATATTGCAACTGCTGATTTGTCGTCACAAATTTTAATTCTAACTTTGACTTGTCCAAGTATTTTAACTGGGCTATTGTTAACAGCTAAAGGAGGAGGTGCAAGGTATGGTTGTAAGTTTAAATTCAGTCGATCAACTAGATTTTTACTGATTAGAGTTAAACCGGAACCTGTATCGAACATTGCTTGGACTTTCTTATTATTTAATTTGATTTCTTTATGAATTAGATTTGAATGTGGAATTGGAAAAAGTGAAGAAACTGAAGAGTTGGGTTTCTCATTGATTTGGTTGATTTTAAATGGTAATTGATTTGAATTCAAATAATTTTCATTTTCATTGTGCTTTATTCTTGAGTTGACGGTTTTATCTACTAATTTAGCAGCATTAATAAGTTCTGTTAATGTTTGAGGATTTTGTAATGTTATTATGAATTTAGCTTGAGGTAAAAGTCTTTCAATGATGAAGATTATCATGAGCTTTTCTGGCATCTTTTTATTCATTCTCAAACATAATTCTTGAATCTGATAGACAAAGTTAGTCGTTAGCTGATTAGACGCTTGTTTGCTATAATGAAATTGATGAGAGAGATGAGCTTGATAATCAGCTGGGCAAAGGTCTGAGATCATTCTATTTCTTAATTCATCATAAGTTTTAGGCATTTTTCGGAAAGAATGAGGACTACAGGTAACGTTGTACCATTTGCGAGCTGAACCTTGCAAATAAAAGGGAATAATCTTGAACATCTCAATAGCACCAAGACCTAAAGCACTAGAAGCTAATTCAAAGTTTATCAACCAATCAATCAAATCTTCATTATCACCTCTGAATGGCTCAATGGTGATATGATTGTTCAGGACATGGCTTGAATTAATAGTGTTAATTGTTGGGTTAAATTCGATTGGATTAAATCCAAATTGATCAGAGTAATAATTCATAATTGATAAAGTAATATGTTAAATGTTAATTGTATGATAATATGATGATAATTTGTGATAATTGAATGTATTGAGAGAATAACGTCTTCACTGACAGTTAAGGATTTTTCATTTTATAGTCTAAGGAGAGAATAAACAATCAAGAAGCAAGGGTCTTCACTGACCTCACGTTTAACGATTTCGCTGAAAATCAATTGTCAGAATGAACAAGATAAAAAAACAATCGTGCTAAAAGATTGGTCTTCACTGACCTTAGTAGCGATATTAAAAAAAAGAAGAGAAAAGATACCAAAAAAGAAGACTTACTTTCGTAATTAAAGGATAGATGGAAATCTGTAAAGTGTGTTAATTATTTGATTTAAATACAAATTGATTTGATTAATTATTAATATGTTATTGTTAATTGATTATTATTAATTTTTGATTATTGATTAGCTGATCTTTTAATTTTTATTATTTATAATGGTTTATTATTTGATGGTTGATTTGTTAATTGTTGATTTGTAAGTTGTTGATTTGTAAGTTGTTGATTTGTTAATTGTTCGTTTTTTTTATTTCTCATTAAAGTAACATTGAGACCACGATTTTAACGTTTATTTGAAGGTCATTTTATGGTTCGAATTAAATTGGAGAATAGATTTGCACGAAAATTAGTTCACCAAATTCACCCTCACACACGGCCACCAAATGTAACGAAAACATTACATGTAAATTAAAAAGGGGTTGAATTTGTTTCTTTTGAGCACAATTTAATTGATTAGTTAATCTTTAGTCTTCACTGACTATTTAATTAAATCACAAGACGCAACTTTGACTATTTTAGTTAAAATGTAAAGGGTCAAATACGGTCTTCACTGACCGTCATTTGACCAGGACAATTTAGCACCACAATTATTTGGTCTTCACTGGTCATTATACACAAATTTAATAGATATTATATATTTTTATTTAATTAACAAATTATTAGAAAAATTGAACAATTAAACAATTAAACAATATTGATGAAAAATGGTGAAGATTTGACTTTGGTTGATCTTCACTGATCAAAACCAAAGTCATTAGTTGATCTTCACTGATCTAACTAATTACTTCTTCTAATTAACAAAATCTATTATTTTATAAAGAAAAATGAATTTATCGCTAGTGGGATCTAATTGAAGAGGTTTGTTTTCTGTTCAGGTTTTATCAATCAATTGATATTGTATAATATTACAACAGGCACAGAACAAAAAATCAACTGAAAGAGCTCAAAAATCTAAACCCGTTAAAAATAGAAGCAATGTCAGAGGTGGTCAGAGTCAAAAGTTATTAATGAAAAAAATGGGTCTTAAATTGACCAACAAAAAGTGTTAATTAGATAATTAATCAGATTAATAAGAGGATGAGATAGAAAAGAAAGAGAAAAGGTGTGTGTGAGAGAGAGAAGGGATGAATTATGGGAGAGGAGGAAGAGTCTCAGAGGAATATAAGTTTTTTAATTGTATCAACTGCACGTCCTGGGATATTAAAACTTCGAGGTGCTGATCAAATCTTTAATTGCTCTGGTTAATTTAAGGTGCAAAGTCGAAAGAATCAACCTGAACTGGTTAGGTTTATTGTGAGGTAAAAATGATTGTCAATAATAGACGAAGTTTATTGGTACAACTTGGCAACCTATTTGTGGCACCTATTACAAACAACTACAGTGGATTCTATTAATATTTGATGAATTAGTTAACAAACAAATTAAAAGAAATTTAAATTACTTTTTGTTTGAATTGTGACTTATTTTCGCAGGTGAAATACGATTTCCTATTTTAAAGCTTAAAACATACAGATAGTTTTCGTTGGTTGACATAAAAAGGATGAGTTTTTTAAGATCCTTCGTCATTTCAACAGTTTAATCTAAACAACAACGAATATTATTTTATTATTAATAAATATTTTGTTCTAAAAGCAACATCACCGTTTTCAATTTCATTCTCATTTTCTTGATCAATAGCAACAATTAAAATTTCTCTTTAATTTTTTCTATTCGAATAAAGTTATCATCCTCGCTCATCATCAACGAATCATAATTATGAATTTCCAGTTTTTCCTAACTTTTGTATCAGTTCTGGTATCTTTCATTGGAACATCTTTAGCACGTGCCCCTTCAACTACTGGTATTGCGTCGGCAGTTACACCTGCTGAGGTAAGCACACCAGGAACTATGACTGGTCCCGATGGAAGTCCTACCAAAATAATATTCCCACATTCAGCTGTTTCAAATATGGTGTATACTACAACTCCCCTACCTTAATATCCACTCATCATCCAAAAAGAGTTGATCACAAACTGGCAACGTCAAATGATGATATGTGATAAAACAAAACAATAAAATAATTCCTAGCATTCTAGTAATCCGTTTCTAATTTTATTATATTTGTATTTTGTATATTAACTAGGCATAATTCAGCCGAAGTGACGTCTGAGTGCTTGTACTTTATCGAGTGTGACTTTAAAGAAAAGCAAGAAATTTTATGTGAGTGATCTGAATTGTCATTTTTGAGTTCTCGTCCCTAGAAAATTAAGTTTCTTGAAGTAAAGTCTCGGACAATTATGGTTTCTAATAGTATTCTTGTATTATTAAATGATTATTGATTCGAAAATTTTTAGATTGTTATTGTTATTAATTGGACTTTATTATTAAGAAAAAAAACTATTTCTTTTAAATCTCTATTGATTTTTTTTCAATTGTTAGTAAATTGTTTTTATCTTTTTACAATGATGTGTGATTAGGATTAAAAAAAGTTGATCACTCTCAAATTGATATTCTGATTGTAACGGAAATGATAATACACACAATAATTAACATAATATTGATGAGGATGATGATAAATATAATACATTTTGCTTTTGATTTGGTTATAAGGATGGAAGCCACAATTAGTTGGGAATGGTTAATTGAAAACTTTAAAATTTTGTTGCATTGGACAACAGCATTTAATTAATTAGCATTAATTTGACTTGATATGACTGGTATCGCAATAATTGACTTGATATAATATTGATCCAATTTTGACTTGACTTATTTGATTGCACAATTTAATAATGCCTACGGTTAATTGTAACTATCAGCTTTTCGTTGTTGATTCGATGGCAATTTTTTTCGTAAAGCACTCACTTTAACACTAAATTTATTTAATCAATAGTTTCCTGCTTTTGGTAATTGTTTGGTTTCGTTGTTATCGTGATAAAAAAACGTTGATTTCAATTGTGTGTCTGGACTTTTTTGTTTTTGGCTTCCTCCCTTAAGCTTTAGCTAAAGCTTCAGCTGATCTCATTTTAACGGGATTACTTCTTGATTCTCGTAATAAACGAATCAAATGTCCAATTATTTTACTTTTAATCTCTTCGCGATCATTGTCTCATCAGAAAAGGCGAAAAAATGACCAAGAATGTAAATCGAAGCTGCTTGGATATTATCCTGATTACTCCTCAAGTATAGCTGTAAAGCTGTAATCCAATCGTTAATCAGTCCTTTGGATTCACTTACCTATGAGAAAATAGAAAACGTATTAATATTAATAATAATCATGACAATTTACCGTTACAATAATGTTTGTTCAGTTTTTCACTTACGATGAACTTGATTAAGCTTGGAGTGAATTCGGTTGGCTCAACAAAGTGTTTTTCTGAAACAACCTTTGCGAAAAATTTACCCAAAGGATCTTGAACAGAGGCCGTTGAATCGTAATTAGCTAATGCATATCTCGCAGCCTAAAATGAAGGAAACAAATTTAGTAAATGATTTTAGTAAAGAATATAACAATTTAGATTATCAAATTTCAAGTAATTACCTCAGTTACAACGGGAACATTTGAATTATAGTAAACAACTAATGGAATCAAAGATTCAGTTGATACATCTTGAAGGAGAAGGCCGCCCTTTTCACACAATTTACCATAGCAATGGATTGCTGATGATCGGATGTTTTTACTTTCCTGTAATCAAGTACAAATTTTGCATAAAAATCAATAATTAGTAAGACAAACAATTGAATTTATATAAAGATAATTATCAATGTTTGGAAAATGTTTGTTTACCTTATCAAAGAGTGATTTTAATCTAATAGCAATTGGTACACATAGATTTTCAAGTTGAGATTTTTCCAGATATACGAGATTGTTGGTCAATCCTTTGATTGATTCAAGAAGTACATCATCATTTTTATCATCCTTATCCTCTAAGCCGAGTAACAAAGCTGAAATAACAGGACTTGATAATTTGGCATTCTAAAAGAAAAGAAAACAGTTATGAATATTAAGATAATTTAAAGACTAATTTCAATGATTAGATGATCCTTACCAATTCTGGAGAAAGGCAACTATGTCGACCTAATCCTCGAATGCAAAGTTTCCTGATAGCATTGGATGAATCGGTGAGCATGTTAAGAAGAGTTTGAAGAAGAGGTTCGGCCAGTGTTTGCTGGTCATAATTATCGATTGATAAAATCTCACAGAAAAATGCAATTGGAATGAGTCGACGTTGAGGTGAAGTATCTTGTAAGAAGGGAGTCAAATCTTTAACTAGACTTGAAATATCAGCAGGATATTTGATACACATTTCCTTGGCTAGGAGTGTAACCGCCTCGGGGAATTCAGCTTCTTGTTCCATGAGGAAGAATATTTTCTCATTAAGTACTTTGTCTCGTTCACATTTGTAGAGGACATTTTTTAGGGTAAGGACGGCGATACTGATTGGGAATACATTTGAACGATCTTTCTCTTTCTTTGATGAGGAATTTTTCCTTGATGATGGTGCTACCGGTGCTGGTGGAGGTGCTGGAGCCAAAGGATTTGATGATGAGGCGATTGGATCGACTTCACTGGCTGGAATGTATTCTGCTTTAAGGAAATTTGCAACGGTACCAAAAACTGAAGTGAAAACCTTGACAAAATGGGAAATAAGGATCGGCGATGAAACGGTAGAGCCATAAATTTCTTGTAAAGCACCGACAGCGGCCAAAGTTTTAGCCGAAGCAACCATAACATTTTGCTTTCGTGGGTGAGGTAAAACTTGTTGAGATTCATTGAGAACCTCTAACAATTTTTCAATAATAACTGGACACAAAGTTGGATCAGAGACCAAGATTAGCCATAATTGAATATGATCTTTTGACCAGATAAGGGAACAATCAAGAAGATAATTGAGAAGAGCGTTTAATTGATGAGATCCAATTGAAGTGATAATACACTCAAGACCTCGTTTGGTGTGTGTATGAGTAACATAAGGCATCCGTTGGACGATATAACTAATAAAATCTGGTAAATTGAGTTTGATATCATTCCCGTAAAGGTCAACCAATGATAAGAGTGTAGATGAACATCCATACGAGCATACGGATAGTGATTCCGTCATTCCGTCCAAAAGAAATTTGAATAAAGGTAATGGTGTTAAATCTCGAAGTTTCAATTGTTGGGCCAAATAACTTGTTAGTGTTTTGATTGATTCAGATGTGAACTCGGGAACATTATCTTCACGGTGATTGATAAAACGGCCCAACAGTTCAAGGCATGGTTCTGGGGAGATTGGACGATTGGACACTTTTTCGGCAATTTTAAAGATTGTCCGAAGACACATGAAAGCTTTCAGACGAATATTTGGAACTGGATCGAAAATTCGTGCAATAATTAAACCGACAAGAGATCCAAAAGACTCGAAACGATGTGAACCAGCAACTAGGAAGGTCATCCATGAATCGAGATTCTCGTGATAAAATTCAATCACATGATGAACAGTATCGATAGCATCGTTTCTATTACCATCATTAGACTGAGAATTCATCCAAGTCTTTAATTGGGTAACAATAAAGATCAATATATCGAGAGATGATCTCTCTCGAATAATGAAATCTTCCAATAAACGTTTAAAGGCTTTAAGCAGCTCTTCATAACCAACTCGACAATAAACCGCTCTACCGACAACATCGATGACCGTTTGTTTCTCTCGATCTGAAAGGACAGGTTCATGTTTAACAAGACTGGAAATGCTCAACAAGGCTAATTGACAATGATGGGTTGGTGTTGATGGTGCACGAAAAATGGTCAACATTTCATCAAGTAAATCATCACGTTTACGAAAGATGTACATTTGTTTCAAATTTTCGGGAAGTACTGAGTGAGCGATTACATTGACCGCCGTAATGTAAGCCGCTTGAACAAGCCATTCTTTTGATTGTGAATAGAAAGTGCTGATGGTTCGTAGGATCGGTGTTTCCAGTCGCGTCAATAAAAGTTCACTTTCCGCGTATTTAACAACATAAGCATAACTGAGAACAATAGTTGATCTTAATCGTTCCAATTCAGGGTCAGTTCCATTTCTCATTGAATCCATGATTGAATGAAGTAAACTTGTCGATCGACGAGGCTCAGCATACTTTTCCAAACTGACCAGGACCATATCCAAATGATTGGCGGCACATTTACCAGCCATATAAGCGATACCTTCCCTTTCGAGAGGTGAACTGTGGTCAATGGTGTCAAAGGTAATGTCCAATGCATTGTTGGCCACTTCTTTATTTTTCAACATTCGAATTGCATTTCCCATGTTGATAAGATAAAAGTTTTTCAACAAAGGTTTCTGATAATAGAGATGAATCTGAGCGATTAACGATGAAATATATGCTCCAAGAAATTCCATGTTTCCAATTTTGGTTAAAAGAGCGGTGGTAAAATTGCAACAATTATTTCTCCAAGTTTCTTGTCGTGATTCTTCAAGTTCATTTATCTCAGCAATCAATTGATCAAGAGCTGGCATCATAGAGGAGAAATTCTGATGAATATGAGGTCCAATAAGTTTTAAAACATGTAATGAATCTTTGACATGAGGCTCAGGTACATCTCCAATGATTACTGATAGACGGGCAAGTAGAGCCTCTCGTTTGGGTGAATGTGAGATCCTCTCGAAATATGATTGAAGTAATCGACCTGTTGAATCTTGACGTTTAATCTTCTCACCCATTAGATTCAATGATTTACACAGGGTGGGTAATGCTTCCGTGTATTCGGGTTGTACAAGATACTCAAAGAGATGAGGCCAGAGAACTCGTTCAATATCATCTACGGTGGTAACAAGTAAATTCATCACGTTGTCAGACATTGTACGTAAATCTTTATTTGTTACCGTATCAACATCAGTTGATGACCTTCGAATAGCCAAATCCTCTTCACTTTCCTCTTCTAGAGCACATTGAGTGATAATATATTTAATCAGAGCTTGTCCACCCTCCAAATCAAGATAACCATGGTGAGCGATTGTAACAATTACTTGAGTTATTGCTCGACGAACTCGATTATTTTCTTCATCTAAAATACGACGAAGTGATTTAAATATTGCTGATAAACGGGGAACAATAAATTGACTAGAGGCATTAATTAAATGCTTTAAAATGGTAAGGGAACCAATTTTCGCCAATTCTGAGCTGGATTCAAGTTTAGCAAGTAACCATGGAATCAGGTATTCACTGTATTTTGAATTAAGGGTTGCAAATGACCGGAGAATCTCATTGTGATTACGAATTGAATTGGGCTGTTGATAATCGGGTAAGGCACATGTTTGGGTGAACAGGATATTGACAATTGTTTCCATTTGAGGTCGAGTTAAATTGGGTGATCCTCTCTCAATGATACACTCAAGAGCTTGATGTAAACTTTGGGAAGAATAGACAATCTCAAAATCATTGGTTGACAATGGAAGTGAAACCGTTGGCCGACGGTACATAGGAAGAAGTGAATTAATGAAACGTGGTACACCCTCGTTAAATGTTTTATCACTTAATAGTGAGATCATATTTCCAATTGCTTTGATAACAGATTCTTTAACTCGATTGTTACGAGAATTAAGCCATTCATGATAGAAAGCTTCAAAAAGTGCATCAATTTCCGCCGTAAAGTAAGACTTGTTAACCGCTGGATCTGGAGCTCGATCAATGTTGGACAAATATTCCTTGATAGATTCAGCAAATTGGCCAACACAATCGGAAAAGAAAATTCGAACAACATCTTTACGAATAACTGTTATCATGGAAACCATAGATCCAAGGAGAGCCTTAATATAACCCATCATTCCAAATGGATTAGCTGTGGCCATGGAACCAAGACATTTACATATTCCAATTGGAGGTGATGAATGAGGCTCAAATTGGGCAAGAAGCTTATCCATTATATCGGTTGTCTGATTTTTACTCAAACAAACAATTACTCCACTGGCGTATCTTTCATAATCAGTTAATTCCTCTAAATCTTTGTTGATAACGGTGATACAAAATTTAGTCAATGAGTCTCGAGTATTGGGATCAATTTTATTTAGAAACTCAATGCAAACCCTTTCGATACTGCTCATCAATTTGATCTTGCTTATAACTCGTACCTGAAGGGTAAATTAAAAATAAGAAAACAAAAACAAAATAATAAGATTAATGAGTAATGAAAATCACATCATAGATTAGCTAAATGGAGGGAGTTAATTGTATTATACATATACTGGAAAATCAGCAAAAAAAATATTCATTGGAATATAATGAATTCATTTAAACAATTCTCCAGCTGGATTAATATGATGTGGAACAATTAAGTTAATCATCAACTGACAATAAAACATTACGCAGCCACGCAAGGTAATCATTATAACTATGGAAAAATAATCCTAATAAACATGATGATAATATGGGAAATATTTAATAGGCTCATGGTAATAATATTAAACTGGAAAATGATGATGACCTTTATCATCCTAATCATAACATATTGTAACCCAATTACTTATGTTTAATTTAAAATTTATAATATATTATAAATCATCATGTATCTTGATAAACTATCATCATGAAGATTGATGGAAAATGGAAAATATCCAAATGAAAATCAATTGATTGGGTTTTGAACTTGAGAAAAAAAGAGTTAATTAGCAAAGGGATTGTGAGTGATTTAATCAGATTGAATTAGATTAGATGAACAAACCTCTCTTCCATCATCTTTTTGCAGGTAATTAAGGCAAGTTGCAAGAACTAAGGAACAGTGTTTACTTCCATATTGAACAATTATATTGCAAACATGATTACTGACAGTTTCTTGTTCATCCATACATCCTTTAACCAGAGCATCGACAATTAGCTCAGAATAATCTGTCAAAGGATAGAGAAAGTGAGAGTGAGAGTGAGATAAAATGGAGAAATCAATTTAAGAATTAAATGTTTCAATCAAGAGGCGAATTTAGAAAAGTTATGTTTCTAAAGAGGGGATAATAAGAAGAGGATTAATTAATTCTTACCTTCTAAATTTGTATCTACTTCCATATTGCATCCAAATTATTGGTTGATTTGAGTTTGAGGTATGTATGTATGTGTTTGTTGTTCCAAAATCAAATTAGAATAGAAATTGAAATGTTTATCCTTGAAAGGTCAAAAATCGCATATAATCTGTAATAAAACGAAAAAGTAAAAGGGTGAGAATTTCATCACAATAAGAGATTAATTAGATTTTATTATGAGAATAGAAAGAGATAAACAATCAATCAACAGGCAGAAAAGAAATGGAAATAAAATTTAAAAAGGTTAACCCAAATTGTCAGGTTAGGGAACCGGTGAGAGAAATAAATTGAACTCACAATTTTTTAGAATCAAATTGAGCTAATAAAACAAAAAGAGAAATCAATCAAACTAAACATATAGAAAATAAATTGAAAGGGTAGAGAGAGATTAATAAAAAAAAAGCGAACCAAGTAATAAGCTTAAATTGTCGTAGAAACAATTAAATTAAGAAAGAAGAGTCAAAAATAGGTAATCAAAAACGAATCAAGGTGAGTAAGAAAAAGTGACAGCTAAGATTTAGCTGAACTTGGGATTAGATTAAGAGAAAATGATTAACAAAACCATCATAAATAAACATAACAGGATAGAGAAAGAAAGAAAAACAATCAATTAATTAACTAATCAATTTAATCAATTGAACAATTAGTGATTTCGTCTACTAATTGACTAGAAAAAAAAGCCTCAAGCAAAATGGAAAAAAATTTAAGGCTTAAGAAATAGAAAAGGGTTAACATTGATCCAAAGAAATTGTAACAATCATCCGATTGATTCAAATTAATTAACAATTAACTTTACCTTTTAATTGTTTCCAGAGAATACAAATAATCACATAATCACAATTCTAATAAACAAACACACCTTTTATATTGAGTGAACAACTAGACTCATTGGTGAGAACAAAAAAAAAGAGTAAGAAATGGAGAGAGAGAAAAAAAATTCTCAATCAGCTGATCTGTTACCCGCTCTTTTCGGATTCCATTTTTGTTCAATTACAATTTTAAATTAATTGTTATTCCATTAATTATAATGATGAATATTTAATTTAAATGATTAGATGATTAATTTAATTTTCTTTTCGACTCTAGTGTTTTTCACAGTTTAACAGTTCAAATGGTTTACCAAAGTAAACAAAACTCGATGGCTGATTATCAATAGTATCCTGATTAACCGTTAATTGTGATTGATTGATTATTTGAGATTTAGGAAAATAAATGTTGATGGAAAATATTTACAAACAATTTATTAATATTTGATTGGTTTGCTTGGATTTACATGGAAATAGGTCACATAGAGACTCGGAACGGGACCAAACTTTGTTGATTGGTGTTGCGATTTTAATTGTGTTTACATTTTAGTTTTTTTTTGCTACTCTTAATTGTTTACCGATTAATTCAAATTACCAATTCGACCAATCATTTTTTTACTATAGCTTTTGGATTTTCTAGATTTTTGTTTTGGTCTTTGTTTCTGTTCCATTGAAATTCGTGGTGGTGATGTTGATTTGGAAGATTTTGATTTAAATGATGCCGATGACGATGATGATGATCGTTTCTTGGTCGATAAATTGGCCTTGGTCTGAGATACAACCTTTATTTTCGAGACTTGATTACTTTTCTTCTCAACTATTGGTATCACTTTCAAAGTAACTTGTGGGATAATTTTATTTGGTGAAACAATTGGTAATAAAGTTACGATTTCTTTGCATTTTGGACTTTCCGTCCTTCGAGTGATAGTTTCATCGACTTTAATCGAGTTAAATTTTTCTGGACATTTAGATGTAACATCAAGTCGATCTGCTTTCCAATTCACAAGTTTTTGAATAAAAGCCGATGATTTTATACGAAATTGATTCAATGTCGATGATGGTCCTTGTGATATGTTACTCGAAAGTCCAACAACTTTTGATGTTTGTAATATTGGGCTTGTAGTGGACAGCGATTTGGTTGAAAGTGATCGGGGATACGTTTGATTTTCAGAAAGTTCACTTTGCACCTTAGGTCTTGGACCTAGCATCGGCCATCTACCGCCGACATTGCCATCAGCTTGTTGATTAGACGAAACTGGACCAACATTATTTGAACCAAAACGAAATTTACAAAGTATCAATAAAAGGATAATGAGGAATATTAAAGTTATTGTTGCGATGATTAAACTCTTTTCAGGATTATCAAATAATGGATTGTCAACAACTCTTGTCCCATCAGAAGTGGTCACTTCGGGAGATTCTGAGCTCGCCTGATAATAGTAATTATTGTTGTCGTTGTTGGACATTTAAACACGAGGCGAAAATATTAGATTGGAAAATGTTATTTACAATTAAAAGTAAAAGGGGAAAAATGCTTCTCCATTAAGGATTTACACTGAAGAAAACATTTGATTACATTGATTAATTGAGGTTTAGTTACAAGTTGATTTAATTAAGTCAATTGTTGTTGATTGTTATGGTTAATTGTTCCTCAAATAGGAAACAATCGTTATATTGGTCAAATGATCAAACTGGCACAAAAAGATGGACATGAAGAAGTATAAAAAAAAGTGATTCAAATGATGAATAAATAACAATATTTTTCAATTAGAATCTAATTAAAAGCAGATTCTAACGGTACTTATTATTATCCATTGATTGTAATATATACAATTGACTAGCAAATGAAGGTGATGGTGATGAGGATGAGGATGAAGCTGATCCTTTCGTGGTAAATGGTTGAATGGTCAAACATTTATCGGAAAAATTACCATGATGATGATGTAAATTGTGGTTATAATTGGATTTAGCTGTTAATAGATTAGTCGATGTTAATGATCGTGATAGAGTTAATTTTTCAAGTTGATCATTTCTCGACCAAGATGAACGGCAAATTGACCAAGCAATTAGGACAACAATTTGTGTGATCAATAAAATGCTGAAGATTAATACAAGTCCAGTATATGTTAGGCAGTTAAATGATGAGTACGATGATTGAGAAGATAAATTCAATTCATTTGGAATACTTTTTGAGTCTGAAAAGTTAAAAGGTAAACGTCAACAAATTAATCGATAATTAATTCTAATGGAATATAATTTATTAACTTGATTGTTTGGCTTACCTTTAATTATATCATATCGTCCATCTCGTTTGGTTGGTGTTTGTTTGGGTTGATTTTTACCTTCGATGAAATCGAAACCATCTTGAATACGAATCGATTGTAGGACAATTAGATCTTGTTCTGTTGGTGGTGGTGTCGATTGGTGGACATTTCGTCTTCTTCGTCTTCGTTTACCATAGGAAAATGATTCTTGGGTTGAACCATCAAAACCATCCGAGAAACAATGGATCGGCTGACATTTGGCCAAACACGGTGATACTACCGCTCGAAAGTTGACAATATCTGAGGTCGGAAATTTAAACGCTTCAAAGGTTGTCTCAAGGGTTTTGGCCGCTCCTTTGATTCGTGATATTGGTCCCATCACGGCGATATCAATAGGACAACCATCGGCACCGATAAGTTCAATTTCACTTCCATCTACTCCATCGGAGGCCACTAATGAACGGATGAAAATTTCATACGGTGAAGGTTCATCGATAATTGAAAATCGTAAAGTTAATTGATCACCAATCTTTGCCGCTCGAATTGGAGATCCAAGTCTATCGGTAACGGTAATTGTCACATTCGGGGAATCAACGATCGACGAGTGGACAAATCTTTCATCTTTAGCTGCACCAATTATCTCACTGAACAATTAACAAATTGTAAGAAAATAACAACAATGATTAATTTAATTTTACTTTTGATTTAGATTTTGAATATGACATAACAAAAAGAAACCAAAGTAAATCATATTAGCAATTAACTTTGAAAACCTTGTTAACTGTTAACAATTAAAAATTACAATTGTGTGCAAACAATATAAAAGATTACACAAGATTTAATTACTCCATGTTAATTGTTACCATTTAGTTGATTACAAAACAAAATTAAAGGAGTAATTTAAATTTCTCAAGGAAATAAATCTTTCTCAATGTTATGTATTATTATCATTTTAAATTGTTGTAAAACAAAAGTTGATTGTTAACCATTGATAATATACATAAATATAATCATTGTTTACATGATTAGTTAATTGTAATTACCCAGAGAAAGCAAATTAATTTCAATGTTAATCACAACTTGTTTATTTTTTCATTCATTATTTAACCAACTCGATTATTAATAACATCAACTAATGAGTTTATTTAACTTTATCCAATGTAAATAATTAAGGTTCATTGACCAAATCATGATGACGATTGGTCAACAATTAGATTCAGGGTAATAACAATTTAAAGTAAATCAAATTTAATTGTTGTTTGCTGAAATGGTTAACCCTTGATTGACAAAGTTACAGAAATGTAATAAAAAAAAACAAGACTTCAACTTTAACAATTGAATGTTGAACAATCAACAAACTAATGGGACAATTTAAAAGATCAAATTTTAATCCAGTTTAAATGATGAATTAAATATTAATGATAATGATTTAAAAAATCTTTAGACTGATTAAAAAGTGATTAACTGAGTTATGAGAAAAATTAAATTGTTATTAAATACTGGCCGTTGATTTTTCCTTAGCACTTAATACAAAGTGTAAGAATCAATTAATCAATGTAACTAATTAACTTGTTGATGTTTTAATTATTATGATTTATTTTGCTTTTACTATTTAAATAAACAGGAAGGAAAGTATATTTAATATGATGGAAAGAAATTAAATTTAATCATAAAGTGGAAAAACTTTAACTTGACCAAAGGAAGTTGATGGTCAAGGTTAATTATCATCGATGATTAAAGATTTGATGATTGATTGACCATGAAATGGAAAGTTTAAATTGTAAACTATTAGATTTACAATCGTTATTATTAATAGTAATCAGGAAAATCAATATTATCATTACTGATCTAAGGTTGATCAATGGATATCAGTTAATCCTTGATTACTGAATCAATTGATTTGATTTATTAAAAGTTGTGGTGAGAATGAAAAATAAATCTAATTGTGTTGAAAGTTATCATGATTACTTTTCCGCCGTTTAATTTAATAATTGCTGATCATATACTTTCAATATTGGACATGGGGCTTGATTGTTAATCTTAATTATTTTACAGTAAAAGTTTGCATTTTGTAATCAACTTAATTGGTGACAATTTGTACGGAAAGAAAGTGTCAACTATTGTTGATCAACTTACCCATCTGATTCAAAGACAACGGTATTGACCACAGTTTTATTGGTCAAATCATATGAACACTGGACAGATAGGCCAAGATCTTTGGTGGTGACAATTAAATCATGATGTTGAAGGACAATTTCTGATGTATATTTAGCACCATCATCACGTTTAACAGCACAATCAACATCATTATAGCCCAACGATAATTCAAATGATAGACTATTGTTAATGTCCATTACACAGGAATTGGGCTTCGATTTACCGTAAATTTTACCATTGAAAATCCTGTTGGTTCGAACTCTGGTCAGCATATCTCGAGATCGGCAAACAATATCGACTAATATAAATAATGTAATAAAGAGGGAATATCAATGATTAGTCTTAATTGTTATTCTTTTTGTCAGGTTAATCAATTGTCGCTGATTTATTACCATCGTAACAAGAAGTAAGCTCATAGGAAACTGCTGGAGGAATCTCAAAATAAGCATCGTTTATGTGATTAGTTGATGATGAATCAAGATGAGAGATTCGACAAACTTTACTAATTGTTGGATCTCCAAGATCAAATGAGAAACAACGAAATTCTGATTGTAAACATTTAGCTCGACATCCATCAGTTGATTTAATCTCCGGATAAACTGAATCAACAGTTTTCAATAATCGTCCTCGTATCGTTTTAAATTCACACAATTTTTTAGGCTCTAAAATAAGTGATTAGAAATTGATTAGCTGATTGATTTATTGATCGTCATTTGATTGATCGTTTTTTTTTACCTTGAATACAATTATTTTCAATATATTCTTGACCAGGAGCTGATCTGAAGTGACGATCGGTACTAAATGGTGTAACAATTGAATGTCGATCCATTTCTGATAAACTACATTCACCGGTAGCTCGATTGTAATTAGCTGATCGACATTGAAAACTGGTCTCAGTGTAACATTTAACCATACAATCTGATTTGGTCGGAGATGAGGCCAATTTAGAGGTATAACCGGTCAATATATGACTTGGAACAGTTTCAAAGACCCACGATTTTTGGCAGACCGGTTCAATTGTAACACCAAGACAAATTTTCTGTGCATAAATTGTAAACACGGGAAAATGTGATTTATTCAATGAGGCTGGACGATTAGAGGCACTGGTACTAAAAAGGACACAAAGTCCCGTCTCAAAGTTAAGCGATTGACAAGTTGAATTGGATCGGCATCTATTGAGACAATCAGTTAATCGTAAAGTTCCCGGTATAGTTGCAATTGATTCCGATGAAGATGAATAAACAAAGCCCGTAATTAGCTCAAAACTTAAATCATTCTGATCACAAGGTCCACCTGAAATTAATCCATCGAGAACAATTAGTTAATCATTGAGAGAGAGAAAAAACTTCTAATTAATATAAAAAATCTCATCTCGAGGTTTAAACGGTGAAACCAATTTTACTTTTCTGTAGCAATTTATAAATTGCTACCTGTTAATTGTGAAAGTTGGAAAGTAACAGAAAAAAATTCAAACGGTTGATTACAGTTCAATGTAATTGTTTACCATTGTAATGTATTGAAACGACAATTAAGTGATGATGATTAACACTAATGACATTTAAAGTGTTCAGTAGTTGAAGTAAATACTAAAGGTTGAATTGACTTTCACCTTTAGGAAAATGATATATATATAAATTGTGAACAGAAACAGTAACAATTTACTGATTGTTACGGGATAAAAAAAAGAGAGCCATAGATTAGATTGTCTATTAAAGTTTAAATGGTTATCAACCATTTAGAAATAGTAATCAAAGGAAAATTATTACAATCAACATGATTTCAAACTAAATCCTAGTTGAAATTTTAAATTGTTGAGAAGCAGAAAAAAAGTTTAGTTGAATGACCCAAACAATTTAAATTGTTTAATCAGCTAAATCAAGTTGAAGTTTTTTAAACACTTTCTCTGGATGATTAAGAATTAAGAAGAAAAAAAAATCTAATATACTTTCTGTTTATCGTAACTGTTAAATTGCTGCCAAATTGTTGAAAGGATTAAATTGTAACAATCAACTTTATTCATTAATTTAGTTCAACAATCAACTTTCATTATTCATGGTTAATGATATCAAGTCATCATCATGATATTGAACAGATTCACTTGTCAACATGATGACCAGAGACAAGAATTTTTTTCATTACTCTGACTGGACATTGACCAACAGGATGATGATGATGATAAGTAATGACCGGAAATATGAATCTCTTTCCGGTTATCTATTATATTTAATTGTCTTGTGAGTTAATTTGTATGGTTTAAGTTTAAAACTCTCTCTCTCTATGTGTTAATTGTGCTAATTGTTTTTCACTCCTCCTCCTTTGGCACCTTTGATTGTGCTCGGAAATTAATTGACAATTAAAATTGTGACTTAATTAACTTTTCATTAAAAAAGTTACTTGGTGTTAACTTGAATCCTTCTTGGTTTAATCATCAATTATCACAATCAGTTAATCATTTACAATTTAGTATGTTTATCAAAATTAACATTATATTACAATTTAAATTATGATAGCAACGATTAATTGTAAAAGTTTAATTAGTTGATTTGATTCACTCTTTCTAGTCTTAATTGTTATAGTAGTTGAGAGGAGTTTCTAAATTTTAATATTAATTGTTTATCATTTTGTTTTTTTTCCCAATCGGAAGATGATTAACAACCAGATTAATTATTTCATGCAGTTAATCATCAATATTAATGATGATTTAATCTTAATTATCGTTTATATTGATTGAAGATTCACCCACAATTAAGGTACCATAATTAATGATTAAAACAAATCATCAGCTTATTGTGTCAGAATATTTTTTGACAAAAACTCACAGAAATGAGGAAGTGATTTAACTTGATCACTATTAGTTAATCCGGTGAAAGGTCAACAATCAAAAGTAAATATAGTTACAGTTGATAATGATTACAATTAATAACTTTGCAGAGATGAAAATTAAATCAACAGGAAACTTTAAGAACTGGATTTAAGTAATAATAATGAATATTGATTGTGACAATTTGATGATTAGTTTAGATTATGGGAACACACAATTTACCTAAAAATCAAGTTTACAATTGAAAATTAGTTGATTAAAATTAACGAAATAAACAAACAACTAAATCATGTTGATTAACTTTTACGGGAACAACAATGATTACCATTAAATTGCAATCAAACTGTGGAGTTAATCATCATAAATTGTAAATTATCATCGTTATAATTAACAAATTGTAATGTTAATTGGGTTTAATTCATTTTTCATCTTAATAGTTTGGCAGTTGAACAGAAATTGTTTTTTTTTCGTAACTGAATTAAAACTAAATCAAAAGTCATTGAAAGTTAAAGAGTTGAAAAAAAAGTTAATCAAAATTGTAAGAATTGTAATTAATTGATTTCAGACTAAAGTTACATTAAATTTAAACTGAATCAACGAATTCAATTGTAATTAATCAAATTCCCATGTTAGTTAATTGTAATTTCCGAGATGAACATTTGAAAATAAATGTATATTAATCATACAATTTAATATCTTCATTGTACAATTTAACCGCAGGGATAAAACAACAGCAGTAATCAGAAAGTGTTAAGCAATTAGTTGATTTAATTAATAAAAATGATTTTAATATCCTAATAACAATTAAGGATCTTAAAGTTAATCGTGAGAGTAACAAAAAAAAATCAAGGACAAAGTTTGATCACAATGTTAATTGTTGATCGTTAAGCGAGTTAATGAATTTAAATCATAGTCTAACTAACTAACTAATTCAACAATTAACAATAATCATTTGATGATTTAACTTTAATCAACATTAGGTATCTTCATCAGCTGATCAATTGTTTACGGAACTAAATTGTTACTGGAAATGTTTAATCTTCAAGTTTCCCCATTGAACTAATCATCTTAATCATTTGATTCCCTGTTGTGATTAGGATTAAATTACAACAAAAATCAAGAGCTATTAACTAACAACAGGAACAATTTAATCAAGAATTCACAATCTATTTCTGGTTTAATGTAATAATTTGAAGGTCAATGTTGTAACAATTAATTACTTAATACCGTAGTAGGCGTTGGGAACAATTAACGTTGATTACAATTAATAATCAACAGGTAAACAAAATACAATTAAAAAGAAAAGCTTCCGAAAATTGTATTTACAATTAATAGTTAAATTTTGCTGTTGTTTAATTGTCTAATATTTAATTACCATGATTAATACATGGAAATGATCATTAATCATAAGCAAAAAACTTTCACTTTCATAATTGAACTTTCTGATTAGTTTTAATTTAATTTTAATTATCAACAACACTAAGGTAATTGTTTTAAGTGTACATACAATTATTAATAAATTCAATTAACATCTTCATGTTAATGATACAATTTATTTAATTGTTTCGCTATGATATTTACAATTAGCAAAGGTTAAATATTGAACTTGAAAAGTTTTCGGTAACAATTAAGTGTAACAAGAAACGTTTCCGACTCTAATAATAAAATCAAATCAAATCGTAATCAACTAATCAATATGAAAATTTATTACACAAGTCACACCTTGAATCGCCCAACAATCAACATGGGTGAAGTTAATTGTAATTAACTAATCATAATAAACTTTATATTTCAAGTTGCATTGAATCAAATTTGTATTTTTTTTTATTAACAAGTTTTGGTTAATCAATTTGTTGAGAAGTGTTTTATTAATTAACTTAATTGTGACATATACAAAGCAAAGAAACCACCAGAAAAGTGTAACAGTTAATTGTGGTTAGTTATATACAATTAAATTAACATCGTCCACCCTTTAAATTAGGTTATTAATTTAAATTGTAACTTGATTGTGCGTGTTGAGGTTCAATTTTACAAACTAAATTAGATTTGATTGTTGTGACTACTAATCATACTGGTTGTAATTTAAATACATATATCATGGGAAATTGTTACAATAATCATACCAGAATTAAGAGTTGATTTAAATTGTTGAAAGAAAAAAAAATTTCTAATCCAATTATTATGAATTTGATTCTTAAATTGTTGTTATGATTATCATCAAGTTAATCATATTATTCCTATGTCTCCTTTTTTTAATCATGATCATCATTTGGATTAACTTTTCCATGTCATAATCATGATTGTTGTATAAAATAATCAACTAAATTGTTGTACTCAGGTAATCATGATGATCGTAATCCTGATTGTGAATGATAATAATTATTGTTACTATCAAGTAACCAGGAAACACATTGGTTAGGCTGCTAATCATGATTATCATTTAATCAGATTGTTAAGGTTACTCTTGATTTAGTTTAAATTGTAATAGTATATGAACAATTTAAATGTTTGACCAAACAATTTAACTCTGACCCATTGGTAATATTAGGTTGTCATCTTTATCAATTTCTTGATGTTTAAATGATACTGATGATGATAAAATTAAAGATGACGACATGTAATTTAAATTGACAATTAAAATATTATGATTAAGCTAAGGATCAACGAGTGTATGTATCTTAACAATTAAGCCTGAGGCTAAATTGTTACTATCGTTTTTTTAGGATAAATTAACTAAAATTTATCATCTCTTCCTGATGAACATAATCTGTGGTCAAACAATCAACATAAATGATAATTAATCAAACAAGATTATCAACTTGACCAATACAATCAAACAAAAAATCAAGATTCGGTTCAAACTTGTTGATTGGCTAAAGATTAACAAACAATTTAACTAATCATATTGTTCACATACTAAAGGTGAATGTTGATAGTTGACAAATTAATTGTCATTCCAATTGGTTGATTGCCAATTAAATAGTAATCAAAATAAATACTGAACAATAATTTTCAATCAAGGATGAAAAAACTGTTTCTTTGGATTGTTTTACTTAAGTGATTTAGTGATGGTCAGTTAGTTGGATTGACCATTGATAATAATGATCATTTTGTACTGATCCGAATTGGGAAAAAATTGTTTTCTTTTTCACTATTTCAACCATTTTAACCCATTTTATTTGGATAATGAATCCAAAATGATTACATGGTACATTTTTTTCACCATCATCATGAAAAATAACTTGTTAATCAACTGCTTCCTTTTCCTGTTTCCAGGAAAGATAAAGATTATCAAGATTACTTCCTAAATTATATCCATAAATATGATGAATCATAAAAAAAGGGTTGAAATTGAATGAGCATTTATTGTTTCACTCTAAAGGTCAGTTAGGGTCACTTTCGCTGGACCAAGAATGGGATGATAAGGATGATTATGCTCAAGTGATTAAAGTTAATTAATTAGTATTCATATCTAGAGGAAAAGTAATAATATTAAA